TTCCCTCTCTCTCGCTCAGTTCTCACCAACCTTCTCATCTATAATTTACTCTCACTCTCCTGTTTCACGACCGCTCCCATCCAGACAGTTGAACATAGGAAATCAGTCATGCTGTGGTGAAAAATTGATAACCGCAGTGCTTTTAAATGCAAAGCTTTGGAATATTTCTTTAATATCAGACCATCAGTCTGATTCATGTGGACGGAACTGTGCTGCTTATCAGCTGGAGGCCATACTGAATGCCTATAGAATTTCATATGGGTTGGTGGGTGGTCTCTTTTTATTTCTCTGCTGCTCTGTGTGTGTGCAGGGACATCAACAGAGTCACTGTAATTCATTGTTCAAGAACTGAAGTGGTTGAATCAGACCTGTTCACAAATATGTGAATGTTTACAGTGATGACAAGATGTATCATCTATCAAAGTCTCATTAATTGTTGAGCAGGCAGAAACACAAGCATTTTAATAAAAAATAATTTACACATCACAAAACCTAGTAATTTGCATAAAGGCAGTGTAATGTCTCCTTTAATGTTCAAAGAAACGGCTCCCTGAAGTAACCTGCAGTTATATCCTCACTGACATCATTCAGTTTTAGAAAAACATGGATGGAGATTTTCATTAATGATGACTTCTTAGTGTCCCTTTACTCAATTATTCTTTCCAGAGTTGCTGACGCACCCGTTTGCACTGCTTCCTGTTAGCATACATAGCTCGTGGCGATCTTGTTGTTATGCCCCACCTCACTCTGCCTTCACAACTCCAGGCTCTAACTTGAAAAAAAAAATCAATACCTCAGCTCTTAAACCAAGCCAGACTATAAATAGAATTGCCTTCTTTCTTTTCCACGTCACGCCTCATGTTTCTCCCTCTGCTCTTTCTTTTATTTTTCACCTCTTTTCATTTCCCTGCTCTTCTTGCCTCGTTTTTTAACACAAAGCACCAAAGAGAACAGGGCTGGTAATAGCTCTGGCACTGGAAATGAAGGAAAAACTAATGTTTTTGACCCTTTTATCATTTGTTTTTCTTCTACACGCCACATTGGAAAGACCTTCGATGAGAACAACAATCAAGGTTCTTACAGAAATGTAAACAACAATGCCAGGGCTATAAACACAACGACAAAAGCTTGTTCCAGAAACCACAACCGCACACTAACGAGACTCTCTCAGTGTAAGAAGACATTTTCTTAACTTACTGAGAAACTGTCCAAATGGAGCTGAATATAAAAGAGCCTTGCTGTCAAGAGTTCTATTTTTGGCCTCCCCTGTGACTGCTTTATTCTAGAAACAAAGCTAATAATAGATGGATGAATTACATCAACGCACAAGCAACAGTACTTTGAGCCAGGATGTCGATGATTCATCTTGTCTAATTTCTCACATCTCTGTATGAATAAAGAGGAGTAAATGTAAAAAATCACAATAGAGCAGGCAGCTGAGCGCCACACATGACTCCTGATTTCCTGTCATTTATTGGCTGACACTGTTACTGTGTTATTCATGACCAGAGCTGACAACTCATTAATGTCAATTTTTAGTGTCCCATCAATCTTCCAACCAAGACCTGTTGGTAATGGCTGAGGTTGTTTTTTAAGGTTGTATCTCATCATAAAATACAATAAAACAGTTCAAGCACTGATTTTCCAAACAGAACATTAGACAAAAGTGAAAAGGTTTGATTAATACTGGTATATTCTATTCTTCGGGTCGCCGTCAGTCTGATCGGTAACAGCAACGATAGCTAAACACCTTTTCACCTCATTCCCATAAAGTTATTGTGAAATGGTTGTTCTGTTAGTACCAAATCAAGAGGCTTTGGAGGTAAATAAGTTCTGCTCCAAGTGCAAAGGACCAGACCTGATCAGCAGTTTGGAGACTTCAGTGAATGTAGTACAAAGTTTCAGACAGCCTCCTTCAGTGCTGAGCTAATTCCAATCATCCTAATAATTTTGATTACACCAAGTAATTATTGTAGCCTGATTAAGCTGACAAACATGACTAATCCCCTGCCTTGTGGTGATTGGGCTGAGTCCAGGTTGCCAGTGAAGTACTCTTCATGTTCCAGTTTTGTTGGAACATGTTTTGTCATTTTACTTTGATTACTGGACTATTTTCTGTACAAGGACATACAGAACTTTTTGTCACAATATTGTACTGGTGTCTTCTAAAGAGCAAAAATGGATTTTTTGCACGACATTGAAAAAATTAAGATAAATACACTGTATATACAGTGGAGTTTTTCCTACTGAAGCAATGGTAGTTGATTTAAATACTATTCATTTATTCATATCAGTCTCTGTTTATATTAGAGGTTGAATTATACAAACCGTATATCAAGACTGAATGGTATTGAATGAGCAACACATGTACAGTGATTTTACCATTACCAACGTTTTTAGAGTAAACTAACCCGAGAACATCATGAAGATGGAATCCTGACCTAATTAAAATAATAATAAAAAACAAAACATTCAGACCACAGGCAAAGTATAAAGCCAGTGTTCTGTCGAATTTAGTTTAATAACCTGATTCCACTTCATGTCCTTGCCTGATGTTCCCGTGTATTATCCCTCAGCTGAAATGGAAAAAAAAGTCCTTTCACTGTTCACATTAGACAGGGAGTGAATGCTACACAAGGTTTTATTTTAAGCCTCTCCATTCACATTTTTCTTTGCACTCTCTTCTCTGCACACATCCCAGAGAGGCTGCAGGTAAAAGAGGTTGCGCTGTTGTCCAAGTTCAAGCGTTCCATGTATTTTCAATATACAGTATTGTGTTGTGTTCACATGGCAGTACAAAAGGTCAAGGTCGAGGGCTGATAGCACCGGGGTAAGGTTTTATCGTTGATAAGATATGCCAAGGGTAAGGTTTTATCGTTGATA